GGCTTATTAGGAATCTGTAGCTGTAATCTCATTAGAGAATAAAGGAATTATTTTTAATTCCTCCAGAAATGCATACATATGTAGATATACAAGCTTCCTCACTTACTGTATTGATAGTTATTTTTTAGTAAAAGCTAAAATCAAGGAATTATAAAGGCGAATTCATTTTGATACGTAAGATCGGTTATCATCACTCCCTAAAGAATCATCACAACACAATAAACAAAACCAAGGCGCCCCCTATGCCTGAGGCGTACAGAAGCAAGGGACTTGAAGAAATCTGTCACAGCTACCCCCACCGGCCTTAGCCAGCAAGAACTCTGTGGTCAGGATCACCTTCAGGAAGTAGAAACCGAGGAATAGTCATTAAAATGGACCAACTACGGATCAAACCCAAGGAAAATATCTCGGCAATACTAGACTTAAAAGAGGCCCCCAAAAGTCCGTCTTGGATCCCAGAAACAAGCAAATAACCGGATGCAGCCTAGATGTAAAACATCCCCATAGCCGCTAAGGAATAGAGTATGAAGACTCCGAGCTGAGCACTAAAGGGGGTTACATATCCCAGATAGCCGAGCGGGTGAATCAAATCCACAGACTAATCAAAACTACCCCAGTCAGGTTATAGAAGGACAAGTAAAAAGGACCTAAGGACTTAATGCAAATAAGGACCCCGTAAAGAATGAAGGCTAGAGGTAAAGAAACCAACTGCGCACCAGATGCTAAAGAGTAAGAATTATGGAGCCGCCAGATAAGGGCAGGGCAGAAAAGACACCCACCCAACAGACGAAGGTTAGAAGACAAAGTATGAACCCTAGGGCTTAACGCGTGTATACTAAATGGTGACGACTAAATATTAAAAAAGAACCCGTAGATTCTGAAAGGGACAAGCCACAGAGAGGAGAGTAAGCGTAAGAACTAAGGACTAACCCCTAAAACTGATAACTGACAAGTACATAATAAAGGAGGGAGTCTAACCTCCAGGTCAGAACACTTAAACACTAAGCCATAGAAGATCAAAAGTATGACCTATAGCCTCTCGACAACACCAACAACTCTGAAAAAATAAAACGGGGGATCGACACCCAGAACACTAACTGCAGAGGAATCTCATGTAGTGCCTGGAAGGAACCCCACTAAATGCAAACCCCTGATACCTGAACTGTAGCCCTCATAACCGGATCACTGGGAGATAGGGCCTAATCCATAAGACGAAACCTAAATGTAGGAAACGGGACCAGGCACCATGACCAATAAACGAACGTCATAAGAAATATAACCCTACACCCGACAGCTAAAAGGTGACAACTAACTCATGAACCTAGAACCCCCCCCCTCCCCAACCCCCCCTCCGGAGCCATGAAGCCTAATCACTAGACGCTGAGAACCAAAAAGTAGAAACCCAAACACCAAGTCCGAGAGGATGAAAAATAAGGGCCAGAAACTGATCACCCAAGGAACAACCCGAAACATTACCCCAAACACCATCACCTCCAAGTGCCTGAAAAGGGAAACATCCTCCCTGAACCCCGAAACGTCCATATAGACCCTAAACATAAATGACTAAAAAACCAACAATAAAAGATGGAACCTGACGCAAAAAAACAAGGGCGCCTAGGCCACATGACCAACACGGCATACACTCTGAAACAACCCCCCTAACAGACAGGGATCAAATCAAACAGGAGAACAACAGGACGAAAACAGGAAGCAATGAACCTAGAACTTAAGGGAAGGCAGCTGAAGCAGATCCGAGAAAACCTCAAGACTAAACTCTGACCCATAGACCCTGAACAATAGACGCTGAAAGCTGAAAGCTAGACCGTAACCCCGGAACCCTGAGCTCTAAACCCTGAACCGTTGAACAGGAACCGAAAAGAAGAAACCTAAAGGCTGAACCCTGAACCGTGAACCATAGACCTAGACCCTGAACCCAAACACCTGAACCCTGAAACCTAAACCTAAAACTAAAGATTAAATCTAAACCTAAGATCTGAACCCTAAACCGTAGACCCTAACCCCTAAAACCTGAACCCTAAGCACTAAACCCTGAAGCCAGGCGCCAGAACCCTAAACCATAAACCGTAGACATGCACCCTAAACCCTGGAACCTGACCCATAAACCTGAACCCTAAAGCTGGATCTTGAAACTAAAGCCTGAACCCTAAACGCTAAACACTGAAGACAGACGCCTGAAACATAAACCTAAACCCTAGGCCCTAAACCCTGAACCCTAAGACTCCAACCCTAAAGCCGGAGCCCTCAACCCTGAACACTAAACCCTACCCCTCGCCTCCTATCGCTAATCCCTAAACCCTAAACCCCAAACCCTGACTCTGAATGCTTAACCATAACCCGGAATCTCCTAAGGAGCGTTAACCCTCCCTGATGGGCCGCTTGGATATTTGTTTAGACCCTCATTGAGCCTCGGGAAGAAGTCCTAACATTGACCTCCCCCCGTCCCCCCCTAACGGCTCGACTCCGACTTCTCAAGGATCCTAACTCCCCGAAAACTCGCACCGGATCTTTTTCAACGTCCCGTTGCGGCTGCGCCTCCGGCGATGGGGCCCCCGTGGGCCCGTCCCATACCTCAATTTCCGGCTTTGACCCCCTCTAGTCCACAGAGACAGATATCCTCATTCCACAGTTGCTTTATGGGGTTGCCCCTCTGGCTTTGTCCCCAGCCTCTCCTTGTCATCTTCGGTTTAGTTCCTCTGGAATTCCTTCAGTCGTGGCTTAATCTATAGCCTATGCCCCTCCTACCTCTCCCCCTGCCTTTTATGCTTCCTGTATTTCCTCTTCTTGCAAAGATCCGGAAGAGACCATATGCTGAACTAATCAACATTAGTCCCACTCCTACTGCTATACCCACGGTGGCGCCTATTCCTTGCTCCTCCTGACTCCCCGTTCCCGGAGTTTCTATCCGCTCTTTCTCTGAGGCTTCGGTTCGGGAGTCCCCTAGGAGCTTTGTCCCCAGGTTTGTACCCTCGGGGCCGACTACTAGGTTCTTGGTCTTCCTATCTTCACTGGGTAGTCCGACCGTCGACATGGAAAGTCCTCCTCCTACTTCATCTCCCTCCCCCGACCCGCCGGGGACGGAGTCTGTCTGGACTGGCTCTTGGGTGTTTAGGGACTCCTGCTCTTGGTTTTTGGGATGCTCTATCTTCCCCTTTCCTTCACCTCTTGAGCCTAATCCTGCGTCCGGCTCCCCTTCTCTGACCTCCTCGGCGTCTTGTTCCGTGTTCTGATTTTTGGTTGTCTCCTGCTTTCCCTCTATATAAGTGCTTGTTACTTGCTGAGGTGGGGAGTCGTGTACATCCTTCAGGAGTTGGGCAGATACTCCGGCTTTTTGGGAAGTCTGGTTTCTGAACAGTTCCAATCCCTCTGACTCTTCCTTCTCATCCACGACACAGAATTCATACCCTTGGCTTCTCTTCGGACACCTAATCTTCTGCCCTGGACCCACCTGCATGATATCCCCAAAGATTTCTGTCAATCCGTGTAATGGACAGGATGGGCATAATGACTTGATCGCCTTCCCTACACTTACTATCAGACTTAAAGTCTCCATTTTACAGTTTTTGAAGCTGTTTGATGCGGCACATGCGAGCTTATCCTGTTGCTGTACCTTCCAATGTTCCCTTTTATCTAATCCTATCGTGCCCTTCTCCTCCAGCAATCTCTTCAGCACCTCCTCACACCTTGACCATGGTTGGTACCTTGTCTTTATTAGTCTCTCATCCCCCTCCCAGAGCTTGTAGACTATGCAACCAATCAAAAATAACATCTTCTGACAAGTTGCATGATTGTTGCACTGCCTTACTTCCCAGTCCCCCATAAGCCCCCTCCATAGTCTTCGCTCCGCACAACCTAACAGTCCATCTTCTGAACTGTCGTTCTTCTTGTCCTCAGCATCCTTCAAACACCACTTGATTATATCATTTAAGACATCCTCCCAGGTCATGTCCTCCCCTGTTGTCCCCCTCGTCAGGATCCCCTGCTTGAACCCCCGCTTCTGGAGCTGATATGTATCCGTCGGTTCTAACACAGTCTCCATCCATTGGCCCACTCCTGCCGGATTTCGAGTCGGAGTCTTTCCCTGTCTGCTGAGGCTGAACCAAAACCTACTCCCCCTGTCAACCCCTGAACTGTACCCGGAATCGGGGTCCTGGCTTCGCAGGCTCTGCCACTTTATCTTTTGCATCATTTAAGCCGCTTCCTCACTCACAGTCTTCCCTTGATTTCGTTGACTTTAGGCGTCTTCCCCTTCCCTCATCCGTCCTCAGATTTATGATCCTCCTCCGTCTCACGAACGGCTGTGGGAACTTGAGCTCCTTCGTTGCTTGCTTCTGCTAGCCCCCTCTCGTCTTTCGTGTTTATCTTCTGTGCAGAGCTGTCCTCTTCTCTCCCGCTCCTCTTTCCGGGAGATTCTGGTTCGTGGCCTTCCTTGAATTTCTTTTCCTTATCTGACTCGGTGGTTCCTCCTTCATTGATGACTTCCTTCTTTTCCCCCTACCTCAATCTACTCGTTATTTCACCGTTTTGCCTGATCAAAACTGTAGCCTAGGTCCTAATATTCTTAACTGCTAAACTAACCACCTCACCCTAGTCTCCTCCTCCTGTTGACTGCGGTGTGTTCGTCCCCGATTTCTTCCAGTATTTTCCCCTCTGCTCCCTAATCCTCTCTCTCCCTTGATTCCCCTCTTTTGGTACCCCCTCGGCTGTTCTTGGTGTAAGGAGTTCCATCCTTCTGCTTCAACTAAGTTGTTAGTTCTCAGAGATATCTTGGGGCCGCTTTAATGTCAGCTGCTTCTCGAGCAATATTTTCGGATCATGACTTCTCAGTCTTGGTCTCTGGGTCCCATCTATGGGTTGAGACTCTCTTTTTCTTCTAGGTTCTTCGGGGCGCCGTGGTCGGTTCGGCTGTTATCCTGTTGTTGCCACTTATTCCCTATTCTGCCCTTATACGCCCTATGGCCTGTGGCCTCCCTTAGCCGCCCTGGAGGTTCTCTTGTTTGTTCTGGGACTCGTCGGGACGGATCTTTCTTTAATTAGTGGCGTCTTGCTTCGTTCACGTCTTGTGGCTTTAGAATTTGACGCTGCTCTCCTTTTCTCCCACCTTCTGGCTGTTACTTTCGCTCCTACTACTCCATAATCCTTTCCTCATTCGTCTTTTTCGTGGGATTCTCCCTGGAGCCTTAGGTTGCCTCCATCCTTACTTCCCGTCGCTTCTCTTTCCTGGTGGATGGTCCCTGTGGCTCGTTTTTTCGGAATTCTTCTTCCTTTTCCTGAGAGACCCGTCAGACTCCAACTCCCGGAGCTGAAGGATTTTCTCCTTCCTTACTTATCTTTCCTGAGATGAGGTCCTTTCCTCCTATCCTCCCTCGGCCCAGTCACTCAGGGGTCATTTGTCTTATTATCCGAGTGCTTCCCTCCCCTGCCTTAATTGGACTTCATCGCCTTATCTCTGATATCTTGTCCCCTCGAACTTCGACAACACGTCGGTTGCGATGTTGAGTTTCCGTCGGTTAT